GAATTATTTTTACAATTTATTTTTTTATATTATAGATTTCTTAACATTCCTTTTTTTTTTAATTGTATAATTAATTATTTCTTTTTTGACACAATTTTTATTTTGCTTTGTTTCATAATGATTGTGATGTTATCCTTACAATGTTATCTTGACAAGACACGTAATTATAGCAATTTGAACAACACGCCGATATTGAGAACATTAATTGTTTGATTGTCACGGGAAGAAAGAGCTGCTTTTCCGCTGATTGAACATTTTGATTAATGTTTATCCTGAGACGAACCAGTTCTAAAATGATTTTGTTTATGTACGTCTTTACCAGGATTATTTAATCATTTAAAAGACAATTAGGCACCGTAACGAATATGCGGGCATATTTTCCGAGTGTTGAAGTACGCTCAACTTTTGAAAACTCTCAGGTTAATCAAAGGCTGAAACCGACTGAATTATATTGTACGATGTATCTTAAATGATACAAAAACGAGGAACGATTAGAAAATGTTTTGATTAAAGATAAAACTTCAAAAATTAAAGTTCTTAATCTCATTACTCTTGATATTTATCAATATAACATAATAACAAAATTGGCAGAGAAAAGAATGAGGCGAAAAAAAGAGTAGGTTTTCGAATGAGGAAGAATTCAGGTGAATAGGTAAACCGATCGATCACTGGTGAACAGCAAGACGAGCTAATTGACAATGCCGTTGTTTTAATCCGCAATCATTGTTTGCGCCCCGTGCAAGAAGAATAAAGTTAAAACCAATAAAATAAAAATTTTCTAGATTAATATAATAAATGTAATATAACGATAATTAATAAGCAAGTAATTTTAATCGTAAATACATTTTTTTATGATTCAGGGATATATTTTGGGCTAGAAATTTATTTAAAATTCACAGATAAACTTATCTAAGAGCTAAACTATTCAGAAAACAAGTTAATTAGGTCATATACAGTGCTGACATTCACGAGATGCAAGAACAAGAATCAACTAAAGATAAGCAATATACTCATTATTGAAACTGATTTCTGATGTTATTGGTTAAAATACTTTTGTCTTGAATTCCAAATTGATTTTATTTTCTGTCAATGCGGGTTTAAATTCATATACGAGAGAGGACAGTTGTACGGCACTGACAATCACGAAAGTGAAAGCCAGGTGTAATACACCGCCAATCGACCTCGAAAAACGCGTAACACTCCCGCGAGAGTAGCAAGAGCTGGAGAGATATTGCGCGATGTTGAAAAGGCTAAAAAAATGCTCAGGCAAGCCACAAGACAGATCCTCGTTCCCCGTCCGTTCTCGTGCGCTTTACATCGAGATGCAAATAACGCGCTAATCTCACGACGACGATGTTTTCTTCATTGTGCTCTTGGATAATCATCTGTGGACTCGCTCACCCGGATGAGAAGATGACGGGCATTGTGATTCGCAACAGAAGAATTTCCTGAATCGCGTTCGCGCGTTCTCCAGTCTGTCTTGCGTCTTATTTTTGTTTATTATTTACCGTTTTATTCACTCAGCATGACAATTATATACTGACAATTTTGTCTTTCATTGAATAGCAAATAAATCGTAGCGAATGGAAGAGAAAGTATAATAGCGACTAGTTTTTTTTAGTTGAGATTAATTTATTATAATTATATAATAATTAGTTCGCAATAATGTAATTATAAATAATAACAGTTGCATATAATCTACGAAAGATGAATTTTTTGTTATTTTTTAAGTTTTTGTCGAAATAATTATTTGCTGTTGAAAAAATAGAGATAGTATATATTATGTGTTGTATATGTCATTTCTAAATCCACATCATGATTCATCTACTTCGACGTAGTTGTCATACTCAAATAGGGTACCATTAATACGTCTCATGTGATTTATAGAGGTATATTTATTATTTTATTAAAGTCAATCTAAAAATTGCTAATTTTTTCACAAAAAAAATTATAAATGATAATTAATTGCGTGTAATTTATGAAGAATGCTTCGTTATCCCTACAGTATTTTTTATTATTTATTTGAAATACGTAATATATTTTGTTGTATGTATATCTTTTATGTATATCTTTTATATCATTAAGCATACATATAATTTTAACAAATGGAATACCATTAATATAACTAGTGTTGTTTACAGAAGCATCTATTATTGTTCTGACGTAAGCGCATTCGAAAAATTCCTAAAGGCATCTTCGGACGATATGGCCAAATGTATATGCCAATTTGGCACGCATTCGCTAAATATTGATCTATTCAATATGGATTATGTTATGTATGTATATAATATTTGTGTTCAGATTGACATACGTCAGTCATATTTTGGAGACATCTTAATTTTTACGACGAAAAAAATATTCAAGAAAAATGTTTTAATTTTTGAAAAGAAGAAGAGACCATTCGCGTTTCGTCACTTTTTGATGAATTTTTCTTTTCAAAAACTGAGGAAATAATATTATCTAGGATGTCTTAAGTGTAACCAAAGATAGTTCCATATACATCTCATTATCCTTCTACAGATTTTTTTGCTATCGTTCTCGCTTGCTATCCTCGCGCATTAACTGGATCAATGAAATTTCCAGAGATGCTGACCCTAAGATACTTCAAAGAGTCCTTCGCGTCAATTGACAATCACGTCATCTGCAGATTGCATTATCGATCAGATTTTTTCACAATCAGTCCTTGTCCTCGCTCATTAACTCGATTGATAGACTCTGCGCTTCCCTCTTCTTTTTCTCGCACGTTCTTTGTCATAGCGGAACGACCGGATCTCCAACGGTACCGTACGAATCATACCTCGGGAAAACCGAGTGCGGCACCGGCTAGATTCGTACCGCCACGCCGTCGAATTCACAGTTTGTCGCGCTTAACCAGTGCGCGTGGTTCAACCTGTCGCGCCTCTCCGGTTCTCTCTCGCGGAGAAGCGATCGAAGTGTAGTGTTCACCTAGGATCGAACGAATTGAGTGTAAATAATAACTGATCTTTATTAATAATTTCTCCTTTTTACGCTTTTTTCTGTGTTATGTGAAAATTTCTTCCGAAGTATCATATAATATAAAATTACGAGAAATTAAAAAAAAAAATGTCTAAAAAATATAAAGTGGCTCAAGCTACACGCAAAAGATTTGCTAAAGATGTCCGAAGAGTGTATAAAGAGTTTAAAAAAGGGTGTCTAAGAGTTTAAATATGGCAAAAATTAGCTAAAGAACAAATTAAAAATATATAATTTTATGTACACAGTTCCATGTAACACAGTTCCATAAAAATATATGGTTCTTTATAATTTTATGTAACACTGTTATATAAAATCAATAATTATATACATCGAAACTTATATTGAATTAATCTTTACAATTTAGTTAATTTAATTAATAATAATTGTATAATTTTTAATTTTATTTATATATTTTGTCGCGTTGATGAAAAATTTTGAGAATATCTTTCATTGTAACTCTACTATTTATTATTTTTTCAAATGTTTTAATCATTTATTTAAAAATGATTGAACTCCCCCTAATTATTTGATTGACTTTTGACTTTCGTAAAATTCACCGTTCTTGTGTTCGTTAATTTCAAATTTTCATGCCGATCGGCTCTGTTTACGTCAAGGAATGAAACAAGTTTGATTAGCATGATATATTTAATTAGCATAAAATGGGGGCAGAATGCAGTTTTGCATGATGGTCGTCAAAAATCGCGCGAAAATACTTGCCGAGTAAAAGTAAAATGTAAGACCCAGCAGTTCTTCCGTGGCAACTCCGTGTGACTTGACAGAAAACTGTTTCGTCGCGAATACTTTGCCCTACAAGGCTATGCCATTAATTCGTCGTCGTACTTTCTATTCGAGACAGAAATCTCGCGTGTAATTTGAAGCGAAATTCAAGCGCAAAACCGCATTTCGATACGTGTGTTTTTTTCTACTGCGGTAGTTTGCAATAATCGAGAAAACTGCGATTGAGTTAAAAAATCCTTACATAGCGCGAATGATAATAATAATTGAATTAGTATCAATTGATGAGGAGAGGGCGACAGAGTAATATTGAAGGTATTTAATTTATTATTAGCAGTGCAGCAATAAACGATAAATATTGAATAATTGTAAGTTATTGAATATTTGTTTTATAATAATTTATAATAATTAAATATTTATTAAACTTATATAATAATATTTAAATAAAAACACAGATCTATATGCAACAGTAGCGATATTATATAAAAGAAACAAGGTTTAATGGCGTGAGAATTTTTTGTATATATGTATCGATCAGATATATTTAGTATTAGGAAATATATCCGATTGAATAAATAGTTGAATGAATTTAGATGGAACGTGGAGATATAATTCCTGTGTAAAATTATATAGCGTTATTGCGTACAACGTTGTGTATGTAGGTAACTCTCTGGGTATGAAATAACATACATATATCGGGTATGAGAGCACGGTTGCTGTATCATTCAGCGAGTCGAATATAAAGCGGTCGAAAAATCGATTGCTTTCTATTTTTCCATTAACCGTGTTACACTCGCTTCTTAAACATAGAAAATCTGTCGCGGTGAATTCAGCTGTGTTCCACTAAAATGAAATTGTTCTCTTCTCGGAGAGAAAGGATGGATGGGACACGGATAACATTCATCATGATTAAAATCTACCATTTTGTCGCGCAGTATATTTTTTACGAACACTTATTTCACGAATACTTCTTTTATATGTAAATTTATCATTAGATTAAACAATTTAAGAGCAGATAAATAGTTTTTACGAACATTTATTTCACGAATATTTCTTTTGTATGTAAATTTATTATTAGATTAAACAATTCAAGAGCAGATAAATAATTTTTACAAACACACTTATTTCATAAATACATCTTTTATATGTAAATTTATTATTAGATTAAACATTTAAAAGCAAATAAATAGTTCAAATTGCATTATTTCGATTTGTAAATTTTTATCAATAACGTTTAATTACGTAATAAACATTTAAGATATCAGCCATGTAAATTTTGATTTTAATAATTAAACTAATTCTTGTTTTTATTGTCAATCACAATTACTTAATTTTAATTTTAATTATAAATATCAATTTTTTGTTTGATCTTGATCTTTAATTTTAACTTCTAATAATCTTTTCAATGATGTTAAATCATAATAATACACTTGAACAAATTACAATATATAAATAAATTAAATTACAAACAACGTCCTATGAGAAATCCGTTACCGGATTAGCAATGACCTTCAACAAGTCTTCAGCACTCGATGATGGCAAATATAAATATATAGTAGCGATAGTAGCGAATTCTTGATTCTTTGAATGTAAATAGCAATTAATATTGTATTCTTAGATTAATTATTCTTGCATTTTTTTCTTTTTTGTATAATGAGATCATAAAAGAGATATTGCTAATGAATTTTCAAAGGATTTTACGCAGAGATTATAATATATAT